CTGCATGGAGCACTGGGTGTTATGCACAAACAATGAATCATGGAACACTTCATCTAGAACTAATGATGTAATGTATGGGGATTAACATAAGAATAGAAAAAAATACTCATTTCACATTCAAAAAAAAAAAATCTTAAAAAAAAAAAAAAAAGCTTAGTTCATTTTTATGTTTCTGTGTCCCAAGTCAGATGCTGACTTCTTGGGGGGCAGGGATCACAGATCCTGTAGGAAGGGAGAAAATAGTGTTCACTAGACATGGAACCATGCCGTGTCCACCGACTGATGAGTGGATAAAGAAAATGTGGTGTATATACATATGACAAGATACTATTCAGCCGTAAAAAGAAGGAAATCCTGTCATTTGTGACCGCATGGATGAAACTCTTGGGCTTTATACTAAGTGACATAAATGAGACAGAGAAAGACATACACTGCATGACCGCACTTACATGGGAATCTGAAAAAAAAAACAAAACCCAAAATGAAAGTCACAGAAACAGTAGAATGGTGGTTGTCAGGGGTGGGGAAATGGTTGAAGGTGGTCAAAGGTACAAAATTCTAGTTATAAGATGAATAAGTTCTGGGTGCGTAGGTATGGTGACTGTGGTTGACAATATTGTATTGTATATTTGAAAGTTGCTAAGAGAGTAGATTTTAAAAGTTCTCACCGCCAAAAAAGGGAACTACATGACATGATGCGTGTGTTAACTAACCATATTGTAGTAATCATTTGCAATATGGACATATATCAAAATCATCACAGTGCACCTTAAACTGATACAATGTCATATGTCAGTTATAGCTCAATAAATGGAAAAAATATGTAGAATGTCACCAGTGAGGCTGCCCATTTTTCTCTATGTTTATGCTATTGCTTTTTTTTTTTAGTAAACAAAAATTTTTCATTGCCTCCCCACCCCCCACAAAATACTGTTCACTGAATACCTGCTATATGCCAAGAATTGTGTTACGCACTTTGCTTTCGATTAGTCCCCACAATAACTCTGGGAGATGGGTACATTTCTTTCTTTTCTTTTTTAAGATTTTATTTATTTATTTGAGAGAGAGAGAGCATCAGTGGGAGGGGCAGAGGGAGAGGGAGCCGCAGACTCCCTGCCGAGCCGGGAGCCCAATGCGGAACTCGATCCCAGAAACCTGGGATCATAACCTGAGCTGATGGCAGACGCTTCACCGACTGGGCCACCCAGGCGCCCTGATGGGTACATTTCTTAATCACATTTTACAGATTAAATAAATGAGGTGGGTGAGATGAAGTGACTTCCCCAGTCACGGAGCCCTGTACAGATCACCCTGGGAAGTGACCCTGTCTGTCTTCAAAGCCACAGTCTTCTCATCATGCCATGCCACCTGCAACTCAGGTTTTTGTTTGTTTTGTTTGTTTTATATTTATGTCTCTTGCGATTTTTAGTATGTTGTTACTAATAGATACCGAGAGAATGTTTCTGGAATTGATTCTTGGCTTCATGCTTCTCCCAAATACTGCAACTCTTCTGTCATTCAATATATAGTAAACAGAGGTCAGGCCCTGTTCTAGGTTCCGGGGACATGGGAATGACGAGACACAGCATTCCTGGCTCTTGTGCAGTTTGCTAGTGGAGAATTGGTTATTACCTTTTTCAGTGGCTCTCCACCAGCTGTCCACAGCTTGCCATGGCCTATACTCCCGAAGTGATGAAGGGCGCAGCTGGATGGCAGTCAGCCTTGGGACTCAGGAGCTAGACCTGGAGGAATATCGGTGCACAAGCTCTTTGTCGTCCACTGAAAAGTGCCTCCAAACCCACTTACCCTCTGTCATTGCCTCCCTCTGGTCACCGTAAGTGGGAGAGCTTTGCTCCCATGCATTTCTCCCTCTTGCCCACCTCCCGTATATATACTTAAATAAGCTACAGAATCCACAAGCTGTAAAGCTCAGGCTTAGGTGGAAAATGGGATCTCCGGCAGTCCTTGGGGGGACAAACCCACAAACCAAATGGACCCTGGCTTTCCAAAGCAATGATTTCCTTGTTTGCAAGCAAAAAAAGAAAGAAAGAAAGAAAGAAAGAAAGAAAGAAAGAAAGAAAAAAGAGAGAGAGAGAAAACAAGTTTGGGGCTTTCTAAAACTTCTTGGGGTTTTCTCTGAAATCATATTAGATGGTGCGGCCCTGGCCGAACACTTCGGCTTCATCGGGGATAGAGTGGCCTGATCGCAACATCATGGGGCTTGTGGCCATCGGCCCCGGAGGGTTACACTCGACTGTGAAACTTGTCACTGGAACTTCTCTGACTTGTGGCCGCTAAGCTGGAATTTGCTTACCATCTCGCTTCTCCCAGACTAATAGTGCATTTCAGGACAGCTTAGATGATCACTTCACAACCCTGCAATCTATTTCTAAGGTAAAATGGAAGTCTTTTTTTTTTTTTTT